TTCTTATTTTTGAGGGGGCGTGGAGCTTTTCTTCTTTTTATTTTTTTGGAAGGGATGTGGGTTTTTTCTTTCTTTTTGTCTTGTTTGGTTTTGTTTTTGTTTGGTTGGTTGGATTTGGGTTTTTTTTTCTTTCTTGTTTTTTGGGGGAGTTGTGTTCTTTTTCTTTTTTTCCGTTGATGGTTTGGGGGGGAGTTTTATTTCTTTTTTATTGGTTGGGTGGGGGGTTGGGGGTCTTTTTCCGCTTTTTTTGTTGCTTTTCGGGGGAGGTGGGGGAGTTTGCTCCAAGGAAATGGCGGCAATGGCAGGACTACACCCCCCAGCGTGCACCGCGGCTCCGAGTGACGTCACCACCTCCCATTGGCCCAGCCTCTCCTGGGGGCGTGTCCCTGCCCGCGTGTCCCTAAAGCGGGAGCGCCGGGCCGGGGCCGCTACTCGGAGCGTGATTGGTCGGTGGCGCCGTCCTTGGCGGGCGCTGATTGGCGGAGCGGGCGGGAGCGCGGCCATGGCCGCGATGGAGGGCGAGGCGCGGGCCGGGCCCGGGGAGAGCCGGGGGCTGAGGGGGGACCGACACCCCGACACGGCCCCGGTGCCCCCCCAGCCCCTGCAGGACCTGACCGGCGACGGCGGAGTGCGCAAGGAGCAGCTGCGCCCCGGCACCGGGCAGCTCGTGCCGCCGTCCGCCTCCGTGGCAGGTACAGCCCCAGAGCCTGCCGTGGGCCGCGGGAGGGTCGCGGGGTGCCCGGGGACAGGCTGGACCGGGCTTGGGGCACCCTGGGCTCGTGGGAGGGGTGGGATGATATCGTTCTCCACGGTCTTTGAGGTCCCTTCCAGCCCGAACCGCTCCGTGATTCCCGCAGCCCCCCGCGGGCTCTGTCTCTCCCTCCTGCCTGGGTCCTGCCTGGGCTCAGCCTGGCCAACCCGGGGGGGAAATCAGGATGTTCAGCAGCAACGTGAATTCATGGGTGCTTCAGACCCCTGGGCAGCTTTTAAATAGCCCTTCTTAAGTTTAGTCTGTGTTCACCAGGACTAAGAAAGCCTAAACTCCGTGGTGGCATGAGCTGTAGTGAGGTTATGGTGCCTGTCTGTGTGCCCTGTGCCTCAGTGCCAGGTTTGGTCGGGGTGGCAGGGCCTGAGGAAGGTGCTGGTGGAGACAGAGAGAACAGAGCCTGTTGTGAAAGATCCCCAAGCCTGGAATGTTGAGGTGCTGGTGGCCGGCAAAGACCAGAGCAGGCACTTCAAAGCGCTGTGCCTTTCTGTTTCGGAGATTGTCTGCTCTCCTTATCAGTGTTTTTGCACTTGGGATACCCTGTGTAACTTCTTGTGGCTGACAGATTAAAGGGAAGGGCATCTTGACCTTGAGGGAAGCAGGATTTCCAGGGCCCACCTATGCTCACAGAGAAGTTTGAAGCTGGAAGTGATTCCTGAAGTAGTTTCAGGGCTGGTGCTGGGTCGGGGAACACCCATTACAGACAGTTGTATTTTCTAACTGAGAACTGGAGTCACAGATTCACAGCTTGGGGGCTGCATTTCCCCCTTTGTTCCTCTCTCCAGGTCTCCAGCTTTGGTCAGGGAATGCTTTGTTAAGTATTTCTGCTGATAACTGGGGCATTTTAATTTGCTCAGCTGAAGTTTCCAATTCTTAAAAGTACTAAAATCACATCTCTTAATTAGCTCAGAAGTGTGAAGCAGCTGTTTTGTCTGGAGTTGTTAAAACACACAGCACTACTGGGCTGCTTGGGTGGGACCAGGGTTTTGATGTAAAACACAAGTGTTTGTGCTGTTCCACACCAGAAGGAAAAAAAGAGAAGCAAGAAAAACAGATTGTTGCAGATCCTACCCTGGGTGTGCTCCTGTTGCTGTCGCTGGATGTGAAACCAAAATCTTGCTTTTTCTCCCCACTCCTGCCTTTGCACAGTGAAGTACTCTGGGTACCTGGGAAACTGGAACAACCTCTTCTGTTCCTATGGGCACGGCAAGTATCCAAAGCTGATGAAACTTGGAAAAGGTAGGTTTGAGCCACAGAATTGGTCCTGGGGCTCGGGGTCGTGTTGAGGCATTTTGGGGCTCGGGGTTGTGTTGAGGCATTTTGGGGCTCGGGGTCGTGTGGAAGCATTTCAATTCAAATGCTGTTTGGTGTCTTCAGGTTGTTTGAAACCTTAAAAAGTTGCTAGGGGAGCCCCAAATCCTTCTGGTTCGGGTGGGAGAGGGGATGTGCACCTGTAACACTCGGCCTGGGAGGGGCAGGGAGGTGTTTCCCACCTTTTTTTACATCCCCAGAGAGGAGACGCTGTCGTTCTCCAGGCTGGATGGGGCTTGGAGCACCCTGGCCTAGTGGGAGCTGTCCCTGCCCATGGCAGGGGTTGGGCTGGATGACCTCTAAGGTCCCATCCCACCCAGACCACTCTGGGTCCGTGACACCTTGGCCTGACAATCCACCCACGGAGCTGCTGGCACAGGAGCTCCCAGGGAGCTCTTTCCTTCAGGCTTGGGGAAAAATCACTGCTGGGTGTGTGAGGGTGGGATTGGTGCCCGTGAGCCTCACCCCTGGCACCCCTGTTGGTGGCAGACATCACGCTGTGGGGGCTGGAGCTGGGGCTGCTGTCGATGGCGCGGGGCGAGGCGGCGCGGTTCTGGTTCAGCCCCGAGTACGCGTACGGCCGGCGGGGCTGCCCCCCCTGCATCCCCCCAGACACCACCGTGCTCTTCCACGTCGAGCTGCTGGACTTCATCGACTCGGAGGAGTGTGACCTGTTCTTCGAGCTGAGCGAGGTGAGTTCCCTCGGGGAGG